ACTGCAGAAGCCCAGGGCCCAGGCCAACACCAGGACAGGCTTTCTCCCACCACCCCTAGTTATGGGTTCCATCATTATCCTGCTGGTGGGGGAAGGGGAGGGATGTATTGTCAGCAGTTCGACAACACAACAGTTATATCTGAACATTATTTCAAGTTTGCTATGTGTCTCCTTGTGCATGGCAGGATAATGTTCTCAGTCTCCTTCATCTGCTCTGTTTCTCTCCATCCCTGGCAATCTGAGGTTATGCAATGAATGGCAATTAATGTCAGCAAGAATAAAATTTTCTTGTCCTTTTGAATATTCTTGCTCAAAACACAGACTGCAGACCAGCAACACTGGTATCACTTGGGTACTTGTTAGAAATGCAGAATCTCAGGCCCTACCCCAGACCTACTGAATCAGAACCTGTATTTTAACAAGAAACCAGGTGCCCCAATGCCATGGATGAGCCACTCTAAAGAATCTGAAACACCTTATGGGACGCTAAGAAGCCATCACCATCCTCCAGAAGGAGCCAGGAATGAAATGTTCACAACCTTCATGACAAGGGGCACCTGTAGGACAGAGCCAGGACACTGGGAAGAGAGAAGTCGGCAGAAAGAGAAAAATGGAGGGAGAGGAACGTAAAGGGCTGTCAGGAGCACACTGAAGCTGCCTTTGAATGAACTGGGAGGTGACTTAGCTGGGTAAGTAATGTTGTGTTCTATGCTCTGGACTCTTCTTCTTTGTAACCAGCCTCTTGTAGAATTGCATTGCCTCTGTGTGTGCTATTTTATGTTATTATGAGGCATAATGACTTACCTTTTGCATTTTCTGAGGGTAACTATTTTGTCTTGTTTTGAAATGCTAGTTTGGTAGTAAGAGCCCATCCATACTTTGCTGGCTTTCTGTGCTCCCTGCTGCAGCAGGACCCAAGCTTTCTGCAATGTTTGCCCCAAAACTATTTGGGACACTTTCCCAAGGGAATTGAACATGTGCTCCCAAACTGCTACCATGTAGCATGTGTAGGACCTCCTAGTCTTTTCTGGGTAGACCCGCCTTCACTGGGGAGAGTTGCCAATGTTGAGCATGGTTACTGCTTCTGCTGGGTTCCACTGTGCTTGGAGGGCTGTGGCCCATGCTGACTGGACCCTTCCCCACCACCGCTAGAGAGCTGGATCCCTGAGGGCCAGGAAACTGGTGAAGAGGGCGTACACTTGGAGAGTTACCAAAGTGTCTCACCCTGATACATGACAGAATTTTCAGTTTTTACCCTAAATCCCTCTGAAACAGCCGCTGAACTTGGCCTGTGGGCATCCCTGTTACACTGAGACTTTGTAAGTGGGTCAAGTTTATCGAGTTAGATTGAGTTCATGAGTTCTTTCCTTATTCTCACACGTGCACAGGCTTACGATGGGGACTCCCCGCCCCACAATCCATCATCAATGCTCAGGTATTTCTTAATCTATGCAATTCTACAAAACTGAAGCTAAAGCTGGGACCACCCCACGACTACCTACAAACCATAGTAGAGAAGAATTCATGCCTCAGCATGGATTCAGCTCTCATAAATGAAGCATTTTTTTAGATGCACTAAAATTTGTAAAAGGCACCAGGGAATTCCATAGAGCTTTCCTTTGTTATTACGCCAGGGCCACCTCTCCCACTCCAAGCGCTCTCCTTATGTCCCTCTCTCATCCTTGCAGCGGGTTCAGGGACTCTCTGGCTTTCCTCTCTTCCTGGTAGCAGCAAGCAGCCTTGCTCTCCCTTCAAGACTGACTACTAAGAGGGGAGTAGTTCCCACAAATATTCCAAGTTCTTGCTGTACCTAAAAACTAACCCACAAACCGTGTACATTTTGGGTTTCATTGCCAATCCCTTTACAAAACAGATCAGGGAAAATGAAACCTAAAACCATAGGGAAGTTTTAAATTATATAATCTTACACTGTTCTTTCCATTTTACTCTCTGGATAATAAGAATAGTAACAATAATAATAACTGAGATCTATTGGGCCTTTACTGTGTGCTAATTTCTCATGAGCATATCTAAATTGAACATCACAGTTGAAGCTGGGTCTCTGATTAACTCCATTTTGCCAAGGAGAAAACTAAGGTTCATGGAGATTAAAACCCTTAGCTAACATCACACAGCTGGTCAGTGGCAGATCCACAGTCACGTTATTAAGCTTCATGCTATAATGGTTTTCTACTTCGTCTTTCTTCTGATTCACTTCTGAAACGGCATCTGGACGCTCTAATAAACTTCCCATGTTTCTATTCAACAGAGTCGTATTCAGTAAAGTTCTTCACCATCCTCTCCCACCCTCATCAGCTTCTAGCAGGAGAAGTTTATCAGGAACCAACAGCAGTGTCCCAGGAGCTATTGATACATCTTTCATTTATAAAATAGAGTCTGTGTTAAATTCATTTGGAAAGCACTGAGTTAAACAAAACTTAAGAGATTACTTTTCTGATGGCGACTATTGTATTCATGTGTAATTCACTAAAACCATGTTTTTTTCCTTCCTGAACCCTAACTAATACTGTGCAGAGCATGTGACAAACAGATCCACGCTTCTCAAACTTTAAAATGCAGGCACGAGACCTGGGAGTTTGTTAAAATGAAGATTCTGGCTCCGCGAGTCTGGGACAGGGCTGAGAGTCTGCATTTGAGCAAGCTCCCAGGTAATGGTTGATGGCGTTCGTCTGAGGACCACACCTGGAATAGTGAGGCTCTGGAATACAGTTTCATCAGTGGTGCTCACGGAAGACATGCCAGCAAAAGGCTGACATTGTGGAAATTCACCTGCAGGTACAACTGAGTTAGAATTACAGATGTTCCCTTGTCTCAAAGGAGCTTTTGACATCTCCAAGGTCCTCTACTGCTCCTCATTCCTCCCTCTGGATGATTCTCCACTACAGCTCAGTGACTGTTTAGAAGAGACACCTGAATATATATACTTGAAACTCTTGAATATTGCCTGACATTGATGACATTTATAAAAGTCTTTTGTCATCTCTGAGCCACTGTATAGTTTTTTAAAATTAGTTTTATACGTATTAGTTATATATAATATAAAATTAGTTATGTATGTGCCTAATACATAGTTTTAAAAACTAGTTTTATATAATATATGACTAATTTTTTACACACCCTGACTTCTCTAAGGTTCTAAGTCCACAGTCTTACAATTGTTCATACTGTGTAAGGCACAAAATGAGTAACAGCATTTTATTTCAACTAAAATTTTGCTATTTATAACTGAAAACCAAATGGCCCTGGAAGGAGAGATTCAGGAGTATGCTGCTAGGAACATTCAGTTCTTAAATATAATAAAGCCCCTGTTTAAAAATAAAACTTAAATTAATGCAACTAGAAAAATTGTATGGCTAAACATGATTCCTGCTTCTAAAAGCTGTTCTAATCATGTCAACCAACAGATTATATTAAAATAGATATAATCTGAATACATTAAAAATTGTAAAAAGATCAGGACACCTGTTATCTTGATTTTGGTAATCAGATTATTACTTGAATTTCATTTCAGTTATTTTTTCCTCCCAAGTTTAAATGTGAGCACAAATATCTGCTTTCTTTTGTTCTTGTTTTTTCCTCTTGAGTATCCCATGGAAGTGAAATCAAAGTGATGTAAAGTTCACCCTTTCTGCCACCTTTGGTCTTACAATCTGATAGACAAAGCATGTATTTCTTTTCTCAATTCTAAGACTATTGAACCCCAAAAGACAAGAGTCAATTGTAAATACTTAACTAGAGCTCTAGGAGAAAACATCTCAACTCAGAATTAGTGATCTGGCTTTAAAATTAGGGGGCAGGAGAAAATTGACACTTAGCAGCTCCATTCATGCTGTCCCTACCCCACTCCTCCTTATTGGGGTTCCCATGGCTTATCTAGGAACAAAACAACCTAGGTCCATGGCCAGCTAAGAGATGAGCCTCATTGCTGTGATCTTTTTCTAGGACACGTATCTGGAAGGCCAGTGGGGTGGGTCTTTTAATCAGTAAGCTGACATTTACATGAAGTCAGAGTGTCTCAGCTGTAACAAAAAGCTGTTCTTCACTACGTTTAGGGATGGCTGGTTGGCCTTATTCCATCTTCCTATGCCGAGTGCAGAGCTGTAACTCTATTAACATTTTCATTTCAGTCGAATTAGTGATCTTGTTCTTGACCCTGTACTCAGAGACATGAACAATGGGGGGTTAATTTAGCTGAGAATTTGGCCTTTTGTTGTATTCATAACTAATAAATTAGCAGACTTGAGTGGCGGGAAATACGAAAAGCTAAAAGAACATAGGAGCATGTCTGAGCACCTAGAGAAAGCCAGAATTAAAAATAATTTGGGGAAATGGGCTGGGTCTTATTAAACATATGTGACGTTTCCCAGTTGGGAAAAATAGCTGCTGGGAAAGTGAGTTTCGAAGATATTTCGGTCTCACTGACAAGCACTCAATTTCGTGAGACTCTAAGTATGCATCTTATTTTCACCGATCTTTATTTCTATTCTAGTGGTCCTCAAGACTATACACACATATGATACTATGTAAAAGCTGTCTGTTCAGCTTCAACATCATGCTACATTCTTCTCCCGCTCCAGCTTTATTGAGATATAATCGACATGTATCATCATGTAAGTTTTAAGGTATACAATGTGATGATTTATACATATATATATGAACATATATATAAATACTTAGTACAATTAGGTTAGTTAACATATCTATCACCTCACAAAGTTACTTCTGTGTGTGTGTGCAGTGAGAACTTTTAAGATTTACTCTCTTAGCAAGCTTCGGATAAACAATACAATATTTAACTATAGTCATCATGCTGTACTTGATCTTCAGGACTTACTCATCTTGTAGCTGAAAGTTTGTACTATGCTACATTTTTTGGTGACTTTTATAGAATATGGATTTTTCAATGTTGATTAAGATCTTTTAGATGATTCCCTTAAAGATTTTTTTAACATACAAAACATTGAAACCTTCTTGACATAATAAAAGGCTGAAAGTCAAAGGTAAAATATTTCCCTAGTATAATTATGGTGCCATGTTTTTTGCATTATGGAGGGACATGTAGGGTAGGCAGAAGACTAGGATGTTGGCTCTTGAAGGGACTTCAGAGCTCATCTCAACCCTCCCATTTTACAGGTGAGAAACTGAGGCCTGGAGAGTGTTCATAACTTGCCAGAATCACATCCAGTTCTCATGACAATTCAGTAATTTTTATGCACTGTAATTATATCATATAATTGATTATATAACCATTATTTTAACAAGTTTAAACAAACATTATAATTAATACTTATACAATTGAATGATTTGCTTTATATTCTTTGACAAGGATTAAAAACTGAAAATGCATTATTACACAAAGCCTCTTCCCTCTCCCCAGGAATCAGACTCAACCTAATGGATCCTGATTTGTTGGTTTCCCCTCATGTTCAAAGCAACAGGAAATGTCCAGATGCTTAGATAATAAAGCGTCATAGTTGCTTTAGAAAAACAGTTTACTTAAGAAGCTTACCAGAAGCCTTTCAAAACTGAGATATTATCTGCATAAATAAACTATTTTGCTAAAAAAATATTTAAAATAAGAGATTATTGGATTTCTATTTATCATGGCTCTGTATCTCTCAGGATTCTGGAAAAATAAAATATATGTCTTTCTTTCCAAATCCAGAGATAAAATTTCTCTTGAATTTTCTTTCTTTTCATGAAAGAAAATTCAAAGCAATCCCAATCAGAAGCCCAATAGGCACTGTTTGATTTCCTTTTGTTTCATACAAAAAATTAACACACTGACTCTAAAATTTATTTATAAATGTTGAGGGCCACAAGTAGTCAAGGAAAGCCTTAAGAAAAATAAAGTGGAAGAATTTGCTTTACCAGACACCAAAACTTAGTATAAAATGGCAAAAGACAGCATGGAATTGTTACTATGGTAGACGACCCAATGGAACAGAAGAGAATCCCCAAACAGTTCACGTGTATATGGTCACTTGATTTTTCGCAAAGATGACACGGCGGAAGAGTGGGGAAAGGATGATCTTTTCAATAAATGATGCCAGCTGAAGTCCACATGGGAAAAAAAAATGTGACTTCTGTCATAGACCAAAATCCATTCTAGGTAGATTATTAACTAAAGTAAAAGTACAATAGTAAAGCTTTTAGAAGATGCTGAATATAGAGATCTCTTAAACTAAATGCCAATAGGATAACTGTAAAAAAAAACGATTTTTGGACTTCTTTAAAAATAGGAGCATACATCCTTCAAATGGTACAATTGAGAGAGGTAAAGGCAACTGAGAAGAAAAAGTAGATCTGTGTGCTATCTTCAGCACACACAGAATTTCCACAGTTCAATGAGAAGAAAATAAACAACCATGCATGAATGTTCAGCTACACATTATTTCATTTCGAGAGTAAATCCATTTCTCCTCAGAATATTTTGAGCTCACTTTGGGCACAGTGTTTCCTACTCTTAGGAAACTCCCTACTCCTCAGATTAAGCAGTAGATTCAAATAAAGAATGTGAGAGCCAGTAAATACGAAGAAACAGAACTTCAGTTACTTCGAATCTGTTATTCCGTGTGACCTCCTGGAGTTTTCATGTAGGTTTACCATCAAAAAACAAAAACAAAAACACAAAAGAGACACAAGGGAACACTGAAAGGGGTTGGATGTGGCTCTAACCTCAGTGACGGTGATGGTATGAGGGCTGATTGCACATGGCCAAACGCATCAAATTGTACAACTTTAATAAGTGCGGTTCTTTATAAATCAATTACATCTCAACAAGGTTGGTAAAAAAAAAAAGCCTAAAACTCTCGTTTATCAGGGTTATCATCACAAGTGGCAAAACCATAAAGAAAAGGAAGGAAGTGGTTACCATAGACGGTAGGGTAATGGACCACTTTGGTGGGCATAAGTGGGCTTCTGGGAGGCTGAGAAGTTCATTCCTGGTTACACAGGTATGTGTTTTATGATAATTCACTGAACTGTACATTTGTATACAGTCCTCTGTTTTTATGTCTAGTTCACAATAAAAACTTTTTTTTAAAGTTAATGGGAAATGACAAAGAGAGAAAGTAAATCTCTCTAGATTTCTCTTTCAAGAAGCTTGCTTGAAGATTCTGCCCCAGCCTCTCGAGTGAATCAAACAGGCTGCACGAACTTATGCTAATGTCATGTTATAGGCCAATTAGTTCAAGGGTGGTTCTTCTGGCAAACATAAATACCACAATAGTGGAAAACATTAGCCCTTCTGTGACGAAGTGCCTTAAGGAAAATTACAGATCATGTAACAAACCCTGGAATACAGCCCTGCTACCACCTCACTCTGGCTCCAGAATTCTTCCAGACCAGGTCTTTGTTCTCTCTCTGCTCCTCATTCCCCAACTCTCTGTCCATGTTGGCCTCATACTTTGTTCATTTCCTGCCTCGCCCCTTGGACAGATGGTTTTGAATTGCCTGGCCAGCCTCCGGTCCTGTGTCCTCTCTCAAGTCACAATTCTGCTGTTGCTTTGCAGCTCAGATGGGAATGTTTACACCACCCACAGAAGAGAGGTACAGAAGGTGTGCCCAGTGTAATGAAAACCTTGCAGCTGTAGAGGTGCTTCATGTGCAGGTCCTCACTTGGAATATATATGAATCATGCATAAGATGCAAGTATTCTGGTCTAATGGGTTAGATATCTTGGTCTTGACTGGGTATCTTTTAAAACTATTAGCTCATAAAAATATTTTTAAATAACAAAACATTTTAAGGGAAGTGTTCACCAATCAAACCACATTGCTGGAGCATTTTACAGGTTGATTCCCATTTCCAGCAGTTGAATGTATTAAGCATATGGTCTAATATTATTATTTATGTTCTAGAAGAGTCAAGAAGAGGTAGCATATTTGACACACATTGTAAAGTGATTATAAACCAATAAAAAATGTTAAAAAAAAAGAAGTAACATAAGCAGTAACTTTACCTGGAAATGTGCATGCTATAATAAAAGTCCATATAAATCATCTTAAATCCTGCATATCAATTTTTAATTCATTTTATTGGAAATCTTTGCATTTTCCTATAAACAAAAAAGGTATCGTTTTATTTTCCCATGTCAACAAGCACTTCCTCTGCATGGAAAGAATCACTTATTCTGGAATAAGTACTTAAAAATTCTGAAATAGTTAGAGTTGATGTTTTAATAATTGACAAATGAGTACAGTGTTCTAGGCAGGTGTAACTCATTGTCTGATGTTTCATTTTAATCCAATTTTCAGCTGACTTATGCTCTTCTGGTATAGTTGAGCAGAAAAATGAAAGAATCCTTCTCCCTGGAAAGCTAAATATTTTAGTCAGGTTGAAAAAGTATGTGCATGGGCCCCATAACAGTAGTAATGAACGATGAAGGCCATTCTCCAAGGATTTGGTATAGCACGGTCATTTTTCATCACTATTATTTTTCTGTCATGTCTTTAAAAAAAAAACCCAGCCCATTGCCTTTTCATGTTATTACGTGTGACTTATTTTTCCCCCTCAAGATTTCTGGTCTGTTGCTATAGCAAAAGTAATGATGAAATTTTGCCTAACATTCTTTTGCTCTTGAATCTCAAATAAGGAACTCTGTGGCACTGCCTACATCCCTTGCAGTGACTACCCAGGCCTTCTTTATGCAAGAGAAAAAGTCGTTCCCAATCTTTAGCCAATCCATTTATTTGGGGGACAGTAATTTCACCAGTCAGCAACAATTTCACCATTTCTTCAAGCCATTTCCATTGGGATAGAGAATAAAGTTTCGAACTGACGTTATGTGGTACCACCTAAGCATCTTTCTCCTAAATTCAGTCAACGATCTCTGCAGAGCGTGTAGGGAAGCTTTAACTAACAAGAGTATATTACATTCGTTCATGATACAAACATTTATTATTGCCTACCATTAGCCAGGTACTAGGTACCAAGGATACAGTGTGGAAAAGACAGACACGGTCTCCACCCTCATGTCACACCCAGAAAAGTTCACATGCCCCAAGTGTTGAGAAAAGCACAGGGTACTACTGGAGCACCAGGAGGGTTACTGGATCCCATTTTAGGGAACCAGAGAAGGCTTCCTGAAAGAAATGATAGTTAAGAGAGACATAAACTATGAACAGAAATTAGAGGCAAAAAAACAAAAACAAAGAACCATAGAGACAATATCAGTTACTTCAACTGGAGCATGGATTTCAGAGGAGGGGTAGAGAAGGCAGTGTGCCAGGATAAGGTCAGAGAGAATGCAGGAGCTGGAGGGCCAGATTTTGAAAGACCTTTTAAGCTGAGATAAAAACGTTGGGTTTGATTATCTGTCTAATGGGTAGAAAAACATCGGAATGTTTTCAGCATGTGCAGTTCTGATACCAGAAGTGGCTTCAGAGGAACAGAATCTTAAGGATGAGTTCTCTAAACTGGGGACTGTTCCTTTTCAATCCCACTGGAGTCCTCTAGAGCTGTCTAGAGCTGCTGGAAGAATTTTAGTGCTTGGAGGATTGTGGGGCACCCACTGAGCTGATGAACAGCACAAAGAACCGTGGGGTAGAGGCTGACATGGCTTTGGAATTAACTGTGTTTCACTCGACTGGGAATTTTCCTCCTGTGCACTCAGGTCGAGAGTGAATTTGGAGGGAGGAAACTAATATTTAGGCTGGTCCGTACTGGAAAAGTTCAGGGCAGTCGTCGAGTTGTTCTTCCTGAAGCATCACTCGTAGTTGCTAAAAATAACATCAGCATTGCTAAGCAGAGAAAGGGTCGTTTGTAAGGCTTGTTTCTCAGCCTCCTGGTTTTCCACGCTGTGTAGGTTAGGGAGGCAGGTCACTGTTCAGGAAGCAAGGTGCAGGACCACTTCTATGGCACATAATGGGTACAAACTCAAGAGAATTGTGTTCTTCATCACAATTTAGGCTTTAATTGAACACAAATGTCAGTGCAGGCCCTCATCACATCCTCATGACTGTAGGATTGAAAGAGACTCCTTACGGGCTCCTTCCTCCAGGCCACCCCCACTCCAGGGCATCAGCTCCCTAGAGCATCAGTTCTGTTGTGTTTCTCCACTGCTCAAAAACTACCAGTGGCCCCTCAGTGCCTAAAACAGTGGTTCTCAGCTCTAACTGCACGTTAGAGTCACCTGGAGAGAATTTTTTAATACCAGTGGCCAGACTACTTGAATCAGGATACAGATTGAATGCTTGTGTCATCTCCACAAATTCATATGCTGAAATCCTAACCACCAATGGGATGGTATTAAAGAGTAGAGCCTTCAGAGGATGATTAGGTCATGAGGATGGAGCCCTAATGATTAGTGCCCTTAAGAAGGAGACTCAAAGAGCTCTCTTGCCCCTCCACCATGTGAGGACACAGAAAGAAGATGAGATGGCTGTCTATGAACCAGGAAACTCTCACCTAATCTGCCAGTGCCTTGACCTTGGACTTTCCAGCCTTCAGAACTGTAAAAATTAATGTTTGTTATTGAAGTCACCTGGACATGCTATTTTTGTTA